ACAGGTATTGTGTCCCTCAACTCCGTGGTGAATAAATCATATACCTTGCTTGCAAGTCTCTGTAGATCATTTTGAACACAGGGCTGCCAGCCACCTGCAATTTAATTTTAAAACAATGTTTCTACCATCTCAAAAGTTAGCATGTTTCCATATAATTGTACTCTAAGGGAACTTTACATATTATGCTTTTCAAGCAGTATTTTAACAATCTATAATAAACAATATTTGGCACAAAAGCAATATAATAATTTAAATAAGAGGCTATATTATATATCTTCATAAAGTATAACAGTGATATAAGAATATATAATTGTAACTTACTGCCTTTTAATTATTATTAATTTAATGTTAAAGGTAGTTTAGATATATCACTGCCTTTCTGATATTGCATTAAGCATGTCAGCCAAAATTATCCAATATGTTTATAAAATTTCTGATGAATAAAATTAAGTCTTCATCATTGTCATCAGAACGAAGAAAAATTGTTTTAAATGACTGCATTTCCTTATTTACATTTGAGGGAAGATATTTTAATGTTGGCTGATATCTGAAGGACACAATCAGGGATTTTGTTGCTCTAAGCAATGCAAAAGTTGGCATGAATGTCTTTTAAACACGTCCTCCTTCCATGTTGTGCAAATGTGTGACTGTTATGAAGTGGCAAAGCATATGTTGAAATATTTCTTTTTTAATGTAAATAATATTTTTGAAACTTGCTGAAATCCTATGACATTGCCAAATCATGCAAAATTTGGGGTGATTGACAAGGCATATGAGCCATTGCAAAAACATCAGGAAGCAGAACCCCAGGGCTTAAACACATCCAAGATTCTTTTTCAACTTGCAGATCTTGACTTGTAGGACTGCATCATTAACCATGAATTAGATAAGGTTTATTTGAGGATGGCTTCCCTAAAAAGTTTGAAGAAGAACATTGTATAAGCAAGGTATCACATAATCTCTTTGAAGAAACTGCCAATTTACTTCTGGAACATAGCACGATGGTTTGCCTGTTTTAAAGATCATCTGTTTTTCAAGTATCTGTTTGATTTTCATATTCTTCTTCTGCAAGTGACTTGACTATTAACCATTGTAGACATCTCAGAAAAGACATCTGAAGGGGGTATAGCTATTCTAATTAGCAATGAGTTAAAAAAAAATGCATATCCCTTCTGCCCTTGGAACTCTTGGTAGAAACTTCTTTGCTATATCTCAAAGAGATGCAAATTATTATGTTTAATATCCATGCCTCTCCATTTAGAATGCATACCAGAGTGTTCTGGAAATAACTTGGCTGGTCTTTGGTTTAAAGAAGTGGCTCTTTCTTTGGACTCATGTATATTAAATGGCTCCCTTGCTGCAGAACTGAATATATCTTTTGGGAAAATGTCAATCACTGTTGTCTATGTATTCCCATAACACAACATCTTTACTGTTCAATTTGGAGGTGAAGCCATGCTTGAAAAGTGACTACTTTCCACTAATGACATGGAGTAAAAAGCCAACCAGATCTGCCAAATAGTATCACTCCTGAATAATATTTCCCATGGGTCAAAAGTGCACACATTGAGCAATTTAAAATGCTCTTCTGATTGGAAGACCTCTATACACTTTAAAATTTTTCCATTCCAACATGCTCTAGGAAGTGGATTAGACGAACCCAGTGTCCCCAGCTCCATGTGAGGCTATGAGCGTAATGTCCTACAACTCCCAATGTTCTATTATCAAAATACCTAGAGAGTTTCTACAGATTTTATATGATCCTGTGTGTTTCCTTGTGAGAAGCTGCTTTCTGGAGCTAAAGAAGGTAATCTTGTCATTGTTTGGAGAAGCTCTGTTCTGCCACCTGGCTGCCAATTTTGCCTCAATACATCCCAATGCTTAGAAACTGGCTAGATAATCATGTTTTCTACCCAGAAATCCCACTGGATTATTTTCTCTATTTTCTTCCTCTCCATTCCCTAACTATTCTGTGTATGGCCTCCCCCTACCCTGACCTCCTGAGCTGAAAAGATCTTCAAAAAATAATTGAAGAGAAGTAGGTGGAAAGCAGGCCCAAGGCCTGTGGAGAGTCTGAGGAGTGGGAAAAAGAGCACAGGTTGTCTCTCAAGAGGTGCAGGAGCCCTGGGCAGGTGGACCTAAGTCTTTGTTAGACCTCCCAGGACCTCTCCCACTCTTTGAGGCACCTTACGCTCTGTTCACCCTAACCTGTGCAGTTATTTAATGATTGCATCTGTTATTGGACGTAATTGTTATGCTCAATAATAGTTTTACTATAACTTACATGTAGATCACCTAGAGTCCAGTTGCAATGAAATAAAATAAATGAACAGAATGTTAAGGATATTGTTGGGTTACCAACCAGCAGAGTAAGTGCACAGAGAAACGGTACTGAGAGCAATGAATACAATACATACAAATTGATTTAACAAAGCTTTTACTTTGTAGTGAAAAACAATTGCATAGTCTTTTAATCAATCCAAGTCTTTAACCATTCAAATCAGTCCGAAGTTACAGAAATCTTCTTACCATACAAACAGCAGTAGGTAATAAACAGCAATTCAATGCTGGTAACAACTCACAATGGTAGCAGGTCCATCCACGATGAGAACTTCTTCACACGACGGTAACAGTTCCAGCCAACAAGTCAAGCAACAATGACTATAGCTTGGTTCTTTCCTTATATACAGTTTACACTAGTAATTATCCACTTAAGATAAGTGAAGTTAGCAGTGCAATGACTCAACAGTACAATTAGGATAATTGCAGTCAGCAGTCAGTCAGCAGTCAATTGCAATGATTCATCAGTACAATTACTCAGCATTACATCTTAAAGTTACAGAATACATTTAAAGTTATAGTACACATATTGCCTGGACAACCAGTTAGGCTTATACCATATCCTAACACAGACCACTTAAACTATAGTTTATATCAGTGGTAGGTTGCTCCCGGTTCAGTCTTGTTTTATAGAACCGGTAGTAAAACCGGCGGGAAGCTCTGCCCAACCGCCACGATGTCATGGGTGATCTGCGTATGCGGGTGCGCTCCCGTTGCGAACCAGTATAAAGGTAAAAGTACAACCCACCCCTCAAATATCATTTGAGACATTTCTGGATTTATTTATTTCTTGGTATGATTGAAGGCTGTTACCACTGGACAGATGCTTGGAAATGTTGGCGAATTTATAGGCAAATTCTTTATCAGTATATTAAAAATATTTTATCTGTATATTTGTTTCTTAGAATTTAGCTGTATTGCTGGGTATACATATGAAAGAACAAAAATAATTTTAAATCATATAAAGTAATATGGATTCTTAATTTCAACTTGCATGCTCATTGTTAAAAAGCACATTTGCACATAGCTTTATTTTATGTCAGATAGATTTTATGCCCTTTTATTTTTTAAAACAATTATCTAGTTCTCCACTTAAATTTCAGTAGGAATTAGTGGGATCTGATTGTTGCCTGGCAAAAGGAAATTGTGCTTGAACAGAAAATTAGAAACAACTGCTTAAATATGCAACTTCTAGAAAGCAATGAAACTGTTTTTTTGTGAAGTCACCAGCTGCATATATACCAAGATAACAAGTAAATATTTTCAACTGCCAAAGACTGGAAAGATAGTGAAACCAATAGAATGAAAAGTTGTAGCCAAAGTTTAAAAGAATTACCCCAGCATTAAGCCCAATAGTCTCAATCCTTGCAGAGAGTTACCAATTTTCTTTCATAACAGTCTCCCTTCATTAAAAAAAATTGAAGTTTTAAAAATTATATTGTCAGTTGGAAGTTTCCAAATTACATTTAGGAGATAAAAAGATGATACATTGGAAATCTAGTAAATCCCCTGGTATTTTACTTGACAGTACAGAGTTAAAATATCCATTGCTATATGAGGTTACTTGGGCTGTGAAAATACATTAATTTTTTATATTAAAGTGGTAAGAATTGCTGACATGGATACTGCAAGTGCTGACTGAGGAGACTTTTAGACTATTTTTCTTTACTAAAGGAACTAATATTTACAGTTTATAGCTTTATTTCTGGCTAGTCCAGAAAAAATTACCCCAAGATCCCCCAATTGTACAAAACTATATTTGATATTAGTAGGAGCCTATGAAAAGCTGAAATTTCTACCATATTTAATTAGGAAAATATACAATATTATTGTATTAATATTGTAAGCCACCCAAGTAAAGGTAAAGGTTCCCCTCGCACATATGTGGTAGTCGTTCTTAACTCTAGGGGGTGGTGCTCATCTCCATTTCAAAGTCGAAGAGCCAGTGCTGTCTGAAGACGTCTCCTGGTCATGTGGCCAGCATGACTAAACGCCAAAGGCACACGGAACGCTGTTACCTTCCCACCAAAGGCGGTCCCTATTTTTCTACTTGCATTTTTTACATGCTTTCAAACTGCTAGGTTGGCAGAAGCTGGGACAAGTAATGGAAGATCACCCCGTTACGCGTCACTAGGGATTCAAACCACTGAACTGCCAACCTTTCGATCGACAAGCTCAGTGTCTTAGCCATTGAGCCACCCCAACCCTATTTTGACTGCTTATCCTTTCTCAAAATTAACTCTGAAGGTGTATGTGCATTGCCTTCAGTATATTTTGAATTCTAAAAAAATTGAATGTTTAGGTATTTTAAGTGTGTTTTGGTGTTCTGCCAAAGAAAGAGCTTTGAAAGAGACTAGTAATTTCTGGTTACTAGTTTAGGCTTCAATAAAATTGGAGAATTGATTTTTATTTTATTATCCTTACAAGTACAACCAATTTTTCTATTTTGATTCTGTGTATTTTACTGATTTTTACTGGAAAGGGAATTTTTAAAAATCTTATTCTTGGTTACCCAAATGTCTTTAAGGTCCATTTTTAATGCTGTTATAGTTAAAAAAAAAGAAGATCCTGCAAACCATCATGCATTTCTTTAGAATGTTTTCTTGGACTTTGATTATTTAAAAATTCAGAATAATGTAAACTTTTTTCTCGTTATTTAGGTAACTGATCAGTCTGTTAAAGCATTCGCTGAACATTGTCCTGAGTTACAGTATGTTGGATTTATGGGCTGTTCTGTTACATCTAAAGGAGTGATACATCTTACCAATGTAAGTATATTAACTAGGTTATTTACTGATATTTCTAAACAGGCAAACTCTTGCTAGATGCATCAACATTGATTAAATTACATATTAAAGAATAGGGATCAGTTTTGTGATGGATGGAAGCTCTTGCAAGAATGCTTAAAACTATGCTGGATGGCTATAATTCAAACAAAGGACACACATACGCTATAGAATCCTTCCCATAGCAAAAACTTAGAAGCAAATTTCTTTTCATAGCCTTTTCTATTTGGTACTGAAGCTTGTTTTGTTCATGGCTTTTTCAAATAAACATACTCCTTCTTTAGAGCTCCCTTTCCTTGTCAATTCACATCAGCTTAGACAATAATAGTAATATATATTTGTGTGTGTGTGTATGTATATATATATGTGTGTACATATGTGTGTGTGTGTATATATATAATATATATATACACATACACTATATATATATACATATATACACATACACGATGAATCTGCATACAGGCGGGAGGTTGAACAACTAGCCTTGTGGTGCAACCAGAACAATCTTGAACTAAATATACTCAAAACTGTAGAAATGGTGGTGGATTTTAGAAAAAAACCACCTATACTGCTACCTCTTACAATACTAGACAACACAGTATCAACAGTAGAGTCCTTCAGGTTTCTAGGTTGTATCATATCTCAAACTTAAATTGATTGATTGATTGATTGATTGGTTCGATTTATATGCCGCCCTTCTCTGGAGACTCAGGGCGGCTTACAATGCGTTAAGCAATAGCCTTCATACTTTCGTATATACCTGCTTAGTAGGGCTTTCGGGTCCCCTAAGCGGTGTTCTTTTTATATACAAAGTCAGCTTATTGCCCCCACAATCCGGGTCCTCATTTTACCTACCTCGGAAGGATGGAAGGCTGAGTCAACCTTGAGCCTGGTGAGATTTGAACTCGCAGTAATTGCAGGCAACTGGCAGCTAAGTGCTACTTAACAGCACTTTAGTCCGCTGCATCACCAAGGTGGACACCTAACACCAAAAAGGTCATCAAAAAAGCTCAACAAAGAATGTTCTTTCTGCGCAAATTCAGAAAGCTCAAAGTGCCCAAAGAGCTGCTGATCCAGTTCTACAAAGGAATTATTGAGTCTGTCATCTGCACCTCCATAACTCTCTGGTTTGGCTCTGCAACCAAACAAGATAAACACAGACCTCAATGAATAATTAGAACTGCAGAAAAAACAATTGCTACCAACCTGCCTTCCATTGAAGATTTGTATACTGTACGACTCAAAAAGAGGGTTGTGAAAATATCTACAGACCCCTCACATCCTGGACATAAATTGTTTCAACTTCTACCCTCAAAAAGAAGCTATAGGGCACTGCACACCAAAACAACTAGACACAAAGACAGTTTTTCCCCGAATGCCATCACTCTGCTTAACAACTAATTCCCACAACACAAATAATTTACTAAGACTGTATTACTATTATTCTTCTCTTCCTTACTAGTATCCATCTCTTCCCACTTATTACTATATCCGTATTGTTTGTATCTTTCAATTATATTGTTTTTATTTGTTTCCTAGTACGATTTGATAGCTTATTAGTAATCTTGACTATAACTAAGTGTTGCATCTTTTTATTCTTGATGAATGTATTTTTTCATTATGTACACTAAGAGCAAATTCCTCGTGTGTCCAATCACACTTGGCCAATAAAGAATTCTATTCTATATTAAATTTATATGCTGATTCCCTACAGAGTCATCAACATATTATGTTGTTAGCGATGTATGTTCATTACAAGTAGTCTTCAACTTACAGCTCTAATAGAGTCTGGAATTTCCATTCTAAGCTAAGATGGTCATAAGCCAAAGTGTTCACGTCACCAGATTCAGTTTTATGGGTTTTTTTGTGCCAGTCTTTAAGTAAATGCCATAGTCATTAAGTAGATGCCAGGGTCATTTATGTAATTCTATGGTTGTTTTTTTGCTGAAAAAATGTAAAGTTGAGCCAAGCACCCAAAATGCGATCATGTGATTGTGGGATGTGTGCAGCTGTTGGAAACCAAAACTGGGTCATTAGTAGCTTTTGGGAGGGTCCATCATAACTTTGACCAGTCATAAGTGACTGGTTTTAAGTCAAGGACTACTTGTGATTAATGTTTATAATGAATCAGATTTGCCACTTTCATTCTTTTACATCTGTCTGTGGATTACTGTTAAACCTTTTGCTCTGCCTTTTCCCTTCTATCAACTTTAAAAGAAATAATTTGATATAATTAGGAAACTTCATCCCAAGATCTAGGTTTTTCATCCATAATTTTTAATGAATGTTTCTGATACTTATCTATGCAGGGTTTCATTGTTTACCTCCCTTCATTATGAGAACTTTCTGTTTGTTCCCATTCTCTTCTTTTTCAGCCCAGTATAATTCTTATAGGGTTAAAATGAGGAAGAATGTCATCCTGAGCTCCAGACAAAAGGTGAAATATGAATGTAATTAGTGAATAAATCTTGTTTTCCACTAATACAGAGCAGAGATAATACCAGTTGTAATTTCCCTGATTCACTTTTTTTTTTGAGTAGTTACATTATATTGGCCACTTGCTAATCCTCTAATACAGAGGCTAATGTTAAAAGATGTATTACAAGAGGGACATTTTCATTTCTGACTTCTTTAAGAACAGTTGAAAAATGTACTTTCTTTTTGGTTGATCAGTTTGGAGCTTAAGATATGTCACCGCAGTTTGCCTCAGCTCTTCAGAATTACTTCCTAAACCATCCACTAAGGCATAGGATCTATTATGTATTTTCTATTATATCAGAAAAGGCAGTGTTAGCCCTTGTATAGTATTATAATTTCATAATGATGTAGGCTTTATTCTATAACTGCGTTTTTTTCTACATGCTTCTGACCATTTTTGCAACAGGGAAGGGGTCAGAGATCTCCTCTTTTAGCCTCACTCATAGTGCCGCAAACCAAACAGTAACAGTAACAGAAAAATAATGAATTTCTAATCAGGCTGCTTCTATGATCAAATGACGAACAGAAGGTGGCATTGGGTGAGGGAATGGCTCTAGCAGTGTCAGTCAACAGGGAGAAGTAGTCCAATACAGGAAGAGCAGAACACTGTGTATGAACAGAAAAAAGTGGATGAGGAAAGAAAGTGGAAAACCAGACTGGTAAAGCTGTAGGTTGCTACTACACAAACAAAGGTCAGTCCTTGTCTGTAATCATAAGTGGAAGGTAAGACAAATCAGGCTATGTAGGAGTAGAACTACCCTGTATTTTGCTAAAAATAAAAGCATTTCAGTTCATGTTCAGATTGGTCATCAAAATAAATTTAAGATTAGAACACTCCTGTTTCAAATTCCAGCAACTCTGACAAGGAAAGCATAGTATAAAATTATTCAGAATAGTAATGTGCTGTATTACATCATTATATTACCTTTTAAGATAGTGCAATATTATAATTTTATGGGGGCCAAATGAGCAGTTTTAATCTTGGTGTTTAGCTCCATTTTTACCTGTTTCCATGAACTAATTCTTTGGGTTTTGCTAATAATGTGACTTTGAAATGTGAATACTGACTATAGCATTAGCAGGCAACCTGTCCTGAATAATACTAAAGGTCCTAGATAGAATTTAAATTATATTGACAAGATTGTGAGTGAAAAGTAGGCAAAGCTGAATCAAAGGCAGAGCATCATTTACCAGAATTGAAGTGTCCATCTCTTATAAAAGTGGTAAAATCTCCGACCCATTGCGACCCCATGGACAACGTTCCTCCAGGCCTTCCTATATATATCTTCAAAAGCACAATTAAACAGTAGCTTTCAAATTCATTTCTATTCACCAAAATTTAAATAACTTTATTGTATTTTAAAACCAATGAAAGTGCTTTGTTCTGGGAAAATCTCAGTTATATTATATTCTTCATGCCTAATTTGATTATGTATTTATTTAGTCCAGATATTTAAAAGGATATCATTTCACCAAGATAATCTGTCAATAGATGCCTTTTAAATTTTTTATAAGTTTATGCTTATAAATATTAGTATCTATTTGAACTGCCCATCTCTCTCAGACAGGTTAGTTAATGTTAAAATGTTAATGTTAATGTTAAAATGTTAAAATATAAAAACAGCATACAAGAATTGAAAAATTTAGAATTTAAAAGGAGGCAAAGTTGATAGAATCACGTTAAAAGTTAGTCAAAACACAAAGGGCAAAAGTTCAGGGCACCAATGAGCCCCATGGCTGCATTACCTTTCTTGACTTTCCACAGAAGGCTGTAGAGCCATGTTTAACTCCTTTTAAGAAGACCACCTTCAGAGGGAGAACATTCCACAGGGCACTGATGATGACAAGAGAAGGTTTTCTTCCTAGACCTTACCAAACAAAAGTCTGTAAAAGTCTACAGTGTCTATAACATATTTTCAATGCCTGATTGGGTGGAGTGGATCGATGTATTAGGATGAAGATGGTTCTATAGGTAGCCAGGCCCCATGCTATGTGGCTCTATTGTTTTCTCTTGGCCGCCTTTTTGATAGTTATCAATTTTTCCAAGCATCAAGATCTCTAGTGATTCTTTGCTTCACATTGTATGTCCAAAATATCATCATAGTTCAAAGACATAAAATTTTCTTCATTCAGCCTTTTTGATCATCTACCCTTTTTATACTGCAAGTGGAAAAACTGACCTTGACTTTACATAATCATAGCCTTTTTTACAATAATATTGGAATAGCAGATTGGCCTTTAACTCTCTTCTTTTGCCTTCCACAAGAATTTCCTTAATTCCTCTGCTTTCAGATACTAAAGTGGCATCATCAGCATAACTGAGGTTGTTGTTTTTCTCAGCAATTTTAATTCTAATTTCTATTACTTTTAATTTATCATTAGAAGTTTGACATTTCCTCCCATTGAAAATCCATGCTGTATCAGAGATTTTCCACAGACTCGAGGAACCTTTCATCCTTGGGAGATAAATACTGAAAAAAATATTGTTTTAAAAAATCAAAATTGTGGAAACCTTTTGGGAAAAGTGTATTTTTGAGGTTAGATGGCTAATAACCCCACTTTTTTTTGGAGTTTCAAGATAATCATATTCCACTGCTGGAATGACCTGGGAATAGCCCAGACCTTAACCCAATTGAAAATCTATGGAGCCGGCTAAAGAAACTTGTTAGTCAGAAGCGACCCAGCAATAAAACCCAGTTAATAGAAGCAATCATTCAATCTTGGTTTCACATTATAACAGCTGCAGAACTAAAAGACTTGGTTCACTCCATGGGAAGATGTTGTAAGGCCCTAATTCATGCTAAAGGTTACCCAACTAAGTATTAACTGATGTGATAATTTTTGTATATCTCGTTTTTTCTATGGTGATAATTTTTTATATCTTGTTTTTTCTATGTGTTTCACTTTTCTTCTTTATACTGTAACTGCTATTCTAGCAAATCTTTCATAAAAGTTATTGCATTACATTCTTGATTAAATTATCTTTCCATTGATATATAATTTTATGGTACTACTCCAAAAAAGTGGTGTTATTAGCTAGTTTTAGAAAATATACTTTCCCCAAAAGGTTTCCACAATTTTGGCCACTACTGTATAATTAGTGATTTTTATACTGTTAATATTTGCATTAATAAATATTTTATACTAGCTGATAACCCGGCATTGCCCGGGTATTTATTTATCGCTGGCTCCCCCATATCTGTATCTCTGTGTGTCTATCTCTCCCCCCTCTCTATGTATCTCTCTGTGTGTATCTCCCCCCTCTGTATCTCTCTCTGTGTCTGTCTCTCACCCCTCTCTCTTCCCATCTTTGTATCTCTCTCTGTCTCTCTGTCTCCCCTCTCTGTATTTCTCTCTTTCTGTGTCTCTCCCCTCTCCCTCCTCTCTGATATCTCTCTGTGTGTCTATCCCCTCCCTCTTTCCCCCCTCTCTTTGTGTGTGTCTCTCTCTCTGCCCCTCTCTATGTCTCTCTCTTTCTCCCCCTCTCTCTCCCTCTCCCTGTATCTCTCTCTCCCTATCTCCCCCCTCCTTCTCCTCTTGCAACACCTGGCTAGCTGTGGCGGGGCCGGGAGGGTGTGCTGTTACCATGGCAACTCCACTGTGCTACACAGTAGCAGCCATTTTAAGGCACAACAGGATATATCTTAACAGAACACACACCCTGAGGGGTGTTAAAGGTCTCTTACCCCCACAGTATTTTTTTGTCCAGAGAGTAAGTCATCTGTGTACCAAGTTTGGTTGAAATTGCTTGAGGCGTTCCAGAGTTATGCTGGAACACACACACACACACACACACACACACCTACCTCGGGGTGCTAGGGGGTGTCCTACCCCACACAGTATTTGTTTCCAGAGAATAAGTCATCTGTACCAACTTTGGTTGAAATTGATTGAGGCATTCCAGAGTTATGCTGGAATACACATACACACACACACACACACACACACAGGGGTGCTAGGGGTGTCTTACCCCCACAGTATTTGTTTCCAGAGAGTAAGTCATCTGTGCACCACGTTTGATTGAAATTGCTCGAGGCTTTCTGGAGTTATGCTGGAAAATACATACATATATTCATACATACATACATACATACATACATACATCCTTTTTTAAATATATAAATAGATAGATTAATTCAACCATAATTATTGGCAGACAAGAACTTTGGAATTGTTTATAATACAAGTACAAAATAATTTTATCTTCGGTTGGAATGAAATTTTTTGAACTTGGAATTATTTTCAAAAAAAGATAAAAATATAATGGGAGGCAGAACATTGCGTATAAGTATATGAATAATTAAATATGCTTATGTTTTACTTTCTGTTTTATTTATATTAATAGCTAAGAAACCTTTCCAGCTTGGATTTACGTCATATCACAGAACTGGATAATGAAACTGTGATGGAGATAGTAAAGAAATGCAGAAACCTTACCTCACTCAATCTGTGTCTGAATTGGATCATAAATGACAGGTAAGTAACTTTTATTATAGAAAAGCAAAGTGAATCCACAATATTAGTTATTACTAATAATTGATAATTTTCAGACGATAGAGATAATTGAACAATAGGTAGTTCTCAACTTATGACTTGTTCAGGGATTGTTCATGATTACAATGGGGCTGAAAAAGACAGTGACTAAAGCTATGTTTGGGAAGTGTTTTACTGCTTGAATGCCTCCTTTTTAGACACAGCAACTAGGAGACAAAACAGCTGGGTGGGCTATGTGTTTCTGGGATTGCTTGCTGCCTACAAGGTGCAGGGCATCCCAAAGTACATAGATGGGGGGGGGGCATTTTGTAGTTGAGGTCTACCTATAAAAGAATACTGAAGGATTTGTTAGTTTAGTGTGGCTTTTTAAATATATTTTTGTTTTTTTTAAATTGCCTAAAATGTAAAATGTATACCGTATTTTTCCGAGTATAAGATGCACTTTCCCTCCCTAAAAGAGGCTGAAAATTTGGGTGTGTTTTATACTTTGAATGTAGCTTTTTCAAAGCTTTTTTTCAGCCCAGATTAGGCACTATCAAGTGAAGCGATCTTTCATGCTTAGCCTGCTTTTCTCATTGCTGCTCCCTCCGATGATCAGCTGTGCTTTAGAAGCTGTTTTTCAGCCCTAACGAGGCGCTAGCAAGCCAAGTGATCTTCCGCACTTCGCCTGCTTTTCTCATTGCTTCTCTCTCCGAAGATCAGCTGTGCTTTAGAAGTTGTTTTTTATCCCCAACCCGGTGCGCACGCGCTCAAAACCAGCGGACTAATGTGCTGAAGCTGACTAGACTAAGGACGCTAGCCAGAAGAATACCTGGTAGGCAGAATTTTTTTCCCCTATTTTCCTCCCCAAAAACTAAGGTGCGTCTTATTCTCAGGTGTGTCTTATACTCTGAAAAATACGGTATATACTGTAGTATATATTCTACATTTATGGGTTCAATATGCCCACTTTTAAAAAAGAGATTCTATTCCATTTATTTACTTATTTTACCAAATTAAAAAATAAAAAGTAATATATCTTTTCCCTTGAAATATTTTGAAAACATTTTTTATATTCAATACTAAGTATAGTTATTGTGGTAAACACAAATATACTAGAAAGACATTTTCAACTATTTCTTGTTTCATAAATTGTTTTTCCATTCATAGAGACAACTAATTATATGAAAAAGTGTTATTAGAAGAATAACACTTTTTGAGAATAGAACATTACTATCTCACTCCTTCCTCTAGCATTAGTGAATTTTCCCAACACTCATATCAAGATTCAGTATTGTTGAAATTGAAGTTTTGAGGTGATAAACATATATATCATATTTGCATGCCAAAAAGGAATACATTATATTTTTCCTTTTGCACAGAGAAGGCAATTTGTGGATATTACAGGGAAAAGAAGAATATTTTAGTAAAATAAATATAATTATATATTCTGGTGAGGAAACTAACCAGGCTGAGAGAATGTAAAGCTAAAACGGTGGAGAAAAGAGCATATATTTTGTACTTGGTAGCTGAAGGGAAGACATCTACTTTAAGGGCCAAGAACCAATTGTAAGGGGTATCTTCAAATACAGTTTTCTTTTCTGGAATTACTACTTGAAAATAATAAGATACTAATTATTCTGTAACTATATTTGAGTGTCATATTAGATTTTAGTCTGATCTTTGTAAGTTTAATAACCTTGAGCTCTTTGCTAAAGAAAAAGATTCTCTATGATACCATACTAAAAACAAATTTTAATTGGATTGAATAAAATGAAATAAACATTAGAGTAAAAGTGCACAGTGCTGTATAGTAGATCTTTGCAGAGACCTTCTAGTTTCAAAGGGCCAAATATGGACACCAGTGTACTATCATTTGGAATCACTTTAAAATAGTTGCATCTTTTGGGGAAGTTGCAGGGGTGCTTTCTTTGGCTTAGACGTGATTTTGGAGAAACTTGCATTTGGTTAAAGGTATCCTGATAGGTATTACAGGTAGTCGTTGCTTAACAACCGGTTGAAATTAAGTTGGTCACAAAAACATTAGTTATGACCTGCCCTCAAAGTTACACAGTGCCACACACATATTACACACTCACATGTGATCTCAGTTCAAGCATTTATTATTGTAAACCGCCTATAATAGTTCCATGGCAAGATAGGCGGTAATAAATTTAACAAATAAAAATAAATACATTTGGCAGCTGCTCACATTTATGACTGGTTGCAGTGTCCTATGGTCATTTGTCCACAGGTTGTGACGTTTTTACCATTTTCCATCAGAAAATGCCAAAAAAAAATAAAAATCCCATTGGATATGCTGGATTCGTTCAACAACCATATGGTTTGCTTAATGACAGCGTGATTTATTTAATGACCATGGTGTCTTGCTTGATGGCCATCATAAAAATGGTTGTAAAATTGAGTCAGGTCACATGGTGACCACAATGAATTATGATAAAAATTTCAAGCTCAGTTGTAGTCATACGTTGAGGACTATCTGTACATGAATGCCCTTTCTTGTAACGTGAGTTACATATTGCCCTTTGAATCAGAATGATAGTACTGCACATTAAAAGTGCATTTGTAGTAGCTTGCAGAAATATTTTTAAAAGGTCAGTAATTAAAGATACGAAAGTAGAAGATTAAGAATTTATATTTAGTCTGAGAATATTCAAACATAAATAAAACAAGGAACAATTTTTATTTGATCTGCTGAAAATTAACAAGAACAGTGGGATTAGCCTATTGAATATTGGATAGAAAAATGTCTAATTATAATTGTAATGGCTTAGGAGACCATGATATCCTTCCTCTCTGGGAGTTTTAATGCACAGGTAAGATAGTTGCTTAGTAACTTGTTTTAAGATTACTAGAAGGCTGGCTATATTTTTCCTCTTTGATTCTATATGACCATAGATGACCATAAAAGATGTTTTGTTAGCTTTATGAAATTATGAAAATAAAATGGTAAAAAAATTTTCTCCTTTAAAGTAGGCCCCTTTTACCTTTGCTTAGATTTGTTGGCTTAGCAATTTTCTGGTTTTGACATGGCCCTTGTTATCCATGATTTATACACAGTTTTGTACATACAGTTCAGACCTTGTTATTTGCAATGAAGGTTTTCATGTATCCAAAGGCCTTTACCTTGTTTTTTATTACTTTATAGATGCACAGTGCAATAACACTGATCCATCTGAGATACGAATATCTGTACTTATAGTGAAATTTCTGTAATTTTGTCTCCTTGTGAAGCAGTAAAGTTAGAAATAGACCAACAGTTTATATTCATTATCTATGAAATTAGAATTTATGTTGCAGGTATAATTATCTGAGTAATTAGAAGCAAATGGCTTTCTCTAAGTCTAAGGTATTAAACAGGTTCATGAATAATAATATTAAAGTATTATAATACTTTATATTAATACTGAGTAATAATAACAACAGGGTATTAAAATGGCTCATGAAAAGAAACATGGAATATGCATTTTGGTAACAGGGCTAGGCATCAGAATAGAGTAACATTGTACAGAAATGGATCATAAGGAATTGTTTTGAAGATCAAACATGGCCTTGGTGACATTTGTTTTAAATGAGCCGAGATGGCGCAGTGGTTAGAGTGCAGTACTGCAGGCTACTTCAGCTGACTGCTAGCTTCAGTTCAGCAATTCAGATCTCATTGGCTCAAGGTTGACTCAGCCTTCCATCTTTCCAAGATGGGTAAAATGAGGACCCAGCTTATTGGAGGCAATATGCTGACTCTGTAAACCACTTAGAGAGGGCTGTAAAGCACTGTGAAGTGATATATTAGTCTAAGTACTATTGCTATTGCTATTAAATGTCTTGGGATTTTAGGTAAGGAAACAAGAAAGACAAAAGGGTTCCAGATTCAGTAGAGTTCCAAACAAAGATTCAAAGGAAAATTCTGCCTGCTTATATGTACATTAACTTTATGTTGACACTCATTATATGAGAGTATAATAAACTCATTTGAAATTTATTGACTTTAATTATGGTAAGGATAATTTTAGGAAACAATGTTTGATTGAAGTTTCCAGTGGGAATGGTGTATTAATGAGAGGAAACAAAACTGTGCAATGCTTTGTAGCAACTTTAGCCATTAACAAGTGCAGTATTATGCTATATCAAAACAACAAACAAATTACACTGGGTTACTGTGCTATATGAAATATTGATATATTCAGAATAAAGTGCTGGGTATTTTCCAGTGTGGTGGCGATAGACTCCAGGCATGGGTTGACTCTTGTCCTTTAGCTCTTAGATTGAGTTTAAACTGAAGACACACTTTCTGCCAATGGTCCCAGTTTTGACTCAGTCTTGAGCTCAGTCAGACCTGTTGAAGAAAAGCTCTCGTTTTTTCTTCAATACTTAGGAAAGTCAGTCAAGACTTGGAGTTTTTTGATCTCTTGTGAGGCTAGGATTGGAGACTCAGCGGAGCTGGATAAAGGAGCCTTGGCTTGAGCCGCTGTTTCCTCTAGCGAAAGTTTTTCCAGCACTAAGTGCTTGGCTGTCAGGAGGCCCAAATACACAAGCCTCACTGACAGCGGGTGCCATTTTGAAAGAGCGGGAAGGGCCATTAGCCCGAAACCACTCTGAAAATAATTTGCTTGCTTGAAGGCTGGGAGCGAAGCCGAAAAGTGGACAGCCCGTGGACGGCAAGAAGCGACACCAGAGGTAGCGCAGGCATGCTGGAATGATGTGATGCAGCTAGCCTGACTTCCTGTTGGGGCGGTGTTTTCTGGCTCCAATTTGAGCGCGAAAAGCCGAGGGAGACAGCAGCAGCTTGGTGCGCATCTACAGAGCGCTCTCAAGGCTGCCTGCCCAAAATGGAGTGCAGACCTTGAGCAACGACGGGCCAGAACAGAGGATTTCCCCCTGCCTGGCTGCCTGTCTCGTTCCCCCTGCCTGGCATTTTGACAGTCGCAACAGACTGCTGCAACTTCTGAAGGAACCTGCTAACGTTGGAGTGGTGAGATATATAG